TCATTTTTTATTATTATTATTTATTTATTTTCATTTTCATTTGTATTATTATTTTTCATTTTTTATTTTTTATTTTGATTTTTCTTAATCCCCATCAAGGATTATAGTTTGTGATCCTATTAAATCTTTCTCCCTCTGTTAATAATTCTCAATTTATATTGATTTGTGTGTTGACAATACTTATTAATGTGAAGTTATATTTGGTGGATTTCATGTGAACTGTTTGGGTGCATTTTACAATGCTTGTAGTACCCTCATCCAGCTGAAATCGATTGAAATAGAGACTTATTGATGAGCTTTTTTATCTTCTACATTTTGTAAGTGCAAACAATTAAAGTGTCATTTAATATTTAAGCATTATTACACTATGTCCAGTTTTTTCCTTTAATATGTACCCTGGGATTCAGAGGACGTTGGTGGCTGAATATTGAAAGACATTCTGATGGGCTTTTAACATTACAACATCTTGTGAGTGCAACATTTACTTAAAGGGGCCACATCTTTGATTTTATAGTGTTGCCCTATGAATCTTTTTCTGTCCTGATTTTTTAGGTGTATCTTATATTCTAGGTTTCTGTTAGTGCAAGTAGGTTTAGGGAGTGTGAGATAAATAGGTAATGGATGGAAGTAGATTTAAAGGTGCTGCACACAGAGCGTGCATTCCAGAGGGCAGGTTTAAAAGAGGAATTATAGTGAGAATTACATGGAATGGGTATTAGGTTGTTGTGGTTTCTGGTGTTTGTACCAGGTGGCTGAGTAGTGGAGGGACCAGGGTTTGGAGAGACATCACCTGCTGCTAGGAGTAGTAGGATGGAAAGGAAGAGAAGGTGGGAGTAAGATTTAAATGTTGGGAATGAGAGCTTGTATTTAGGGTATTTAGGAGGGGTGTGTTGAGAAAGGCTGGATAAATATGAATAAAGTGCGTGTGATGAATACAGAGATGAGGGGAGCAGAGAGGGAGCAATGAAGATGGTGTTAGCAGGAACAGGTAAGTAAAATGATAGAGAGATTTTAATAATGAGGGAAGTGAGAGAGAGAGTGAAAACTAGAAGTGAAAACATTAGTAGGAGAGTAAGTGCTGTATTTTTAAGAGCTGTGGTTAGGAGGGTTAAGGGTTAAAGAGGTATTGTGTGAGTATAGCTATTTTGGGTGTGGAGGGCTTGGTGGACAGAGGCTAACATAATTGGTTTAACAAGAATGGTAGGTAATTTGAGCTATCTATAAATGTAGTGATTACCATGGGGAGGGTGGGAAGCGATCATCCAGTAAATGCTACTGTGAGGTACTGACTCTGCTGGGTTTCGAACCCTGGTTTACATGATGCTAAACGTCTTCCTTACCAGTACACCAGCCTGCCTTTTGCAAATTTACCTAAGATCTGATACCATTGCTTGTAGAGTCAAGATTATCAGTGACAACTCTCTTCAGCTGTGTCTGGTCAGGTGTCTGGTTCTTGGCCTATAAAAGCCACTTCCAGTCTCTGTACCTTGGTCAAGATGAGTCATTTCATACCAGCTCGTGGTCTCCCTTCAGCTAAACAGACTGCTGACCTAGTTATTCGAGAAATATTTTGCTTGCAAGGAGTGCCTGATGAAGTAATTTCTAACAGGGGAGTGCAGTTTACATCTCATTTTTGGAAATGTTTTTGTTCTATTCTAGGTATTAATGTAAATCTGTCTTCAGCTTTTCATCCACAAAGTAATGGACAGACTGAGCGAACCAACCAGACTTTAGAACAATATTTGCGGTGCTATATTAGTTACCTGCAGGATGACTGGCTGGATTTTCTACCCACGGCGGAGTTTGCCTATAACAATGCCCAACACTGCTCCACTTCTCTGAGCCCATTTTTTTGCCAATTATGGTTACCATCCAACCTTTCTAGTGAGTCTCCCAATTACTACTTCCATTCCTGCAGTCACTGACCGGCTAACCGCCTTACAAGATTCCCAAGAACTGTTGAAGGAGACTCTTTTGGAGGCTCAGGAATGTTACACAAGGGCTGCTGATAGGCACAGAAAGGAGGCCCCAGTTTATCATGTTGGTGACAAGGTTTGGCTGTCAACAAAGAATCTTAAGCTTAGGATTCCTTCTCATAAATTGGGTCAAAAGTTTATGGGACCTTTTGAGATCATCGCTCAGATCAATGCAGTCACCTTCCGTCTGCAACTTCCGGATTCCATGAAAATACATCCGGTGTTTCACGTGGCACTGCTTAAACCTTTTCATGAAAATACTTACCCTGGTCGAGCCATGCCTGCCCCACCACCAGTCCTCGTGGATGGTGAAGATGAATACGAGGTGGAAAAAATTCTTGACTCCAGGATCTTCCGCAACAAGCTTCAATATTTGGTTCATTGGAAAGGCTATGGTGAGGAGGATAGATCGTGGGAACCAGCGGACAATATTCACGCTCCTGATCTTCTTCAGTCTTTCCATGCACAGTACCCTGCTAAACCAGGAAATAGGGTATCCAGAGGCTGCGCCTATAGAGATGGAGGTAATGTGCTGGGTTTCGAACCCTGGTTTACATGATGCTAAACCTCTTCCTTACCAGTACACCAGCCTGCCTTTTGCAAATTTACCTAAGATCTGATACCATTGCTTGTAGAGTCAAGATTATCAGTGACAACTCTCTTCAGCTGTGTCTGGTCAGGTGTCTGGTTCTTGGCCTATAAAAGCCACTTCCTGTCTCTGTACCTTTGCCAGATTATTGTGGTTCCTGTACTCTCTAATCAAGCGTGTTCCTGTTTCTCCTTCCTGTTGCTGAATTTGGACTGTTTTGACTTTGCTGCTTCTCCTTCCCACTGACCTCGGCTTGCCTCACTACGATTATCATCTTTCTGTTCCAGTCTCCCATCTCTGCTTAAGACCAGAAGGCCACTCAAGGCTCAGGGGCTCAACCACCTGGGTAACGAGTGGCTACCTCTGGCAGAAAACATTGCTGATCTGGCTACTGGACTCCAAAACTTTGTAACATCAATATCATTACAGCTACCTCTGCTTATGGCAAGTCCTGCAGGGTTGTGTGCTGGGAGTCCTGGGTGTAGCTGTTTCAATATTGTATGGGGCCTAGGCTCTGCTTATGGCAAGTCCTGCAGGGTTGTGTGCTGGGAGTCCTGGGTGTAGCTGTTTCAATATTGTATGGGGCCCAGGCTCTCACCTGTATTATCCATATGCATTCCGGAAATTGCGTTCCAAATAATTCTATCCGGGTTCGCGTGGAATGCATTTGAAAAAGCAAAGTGGCAAATAGAAATTTGAAAAATAGAAACAATAAAATATATCGATCAGAAAGTGTACTCCATGATATTAAGTCCAAAAATTGGTTTAAAGGATC